CACTCCCTTCCCACATGCCCACCCATGGCTGCAGAACTGACGTCCCCTCCACAAAACCCCCCATACCCGACAACTGGGAAAGGGGATCTAGGCTCTCCGAGTACAACCCTTTTCCACAGGAACATGGTGGCACAGACGGGCCAAGGGAGCTGCCCACAAGCACACGGCCGGGACAGGCCATCAACCTGGTGGCGGAGGGAGGCCCTCCCTCCGAGAGGCTCCGCCCTCCTAGTTGGGAGTCCTCCAAGGGGGCTCTGGGAAAAGCATGGAAACTCACAGAGGACACAAGCAGCCAGCACCACAGCCCCCAACACAATAGCCCTCATCAAACGCACTCGGCCCTAATGTGGACGAGATCTGACTTCAGTCCAAAGACACTCCCCAACCCAGAGCCAGCAAGGTCCGTGCTATGGGGGACGGGGCCACAGATCCCAAAGGGCCAAGAGAGCAAAGGCAGAATCCACTACAAGCTCAGGACGCCAGCAAGAGGCAACTGGGGAGCTCCTGGGTTTGCCCCTCAACCTGAAGCCAGGGGGACCTCCCTGGGTCGGCTGGAGGAGCGGGGGGAGCTGGGGGAGGCCACAGGGCAGCCCGGGCTTACAGATTCCCTGCAGGGAGAGGACCAGAAAAGATAAAAAAAAAAAAAAAAAAAAAAAAAAGATGTTTATACCCATTCACTCTGCAGTCTGCCACCCAGGAATTTACCCAAAAAAGGAAAAAGCTGTGAGCGCCAAGGTCACCGGGTTGTTTACACAGAGATGGACACTGGAGACTCTTCACTGGGCGGAGAGGGCTGCGTTCAGCAGCCTTTGAACCCACAGCCCGAGGAGCACAGACATGCGTCAGGGCGGCCACATGGCCCCTCACAGACTGCATAACTGTGTGGCAATCGCAGCGAGGAACACGCTAAAGGTGTGGGGCAAGAAACCCTGGGCAGATGAAAACAGCCGTGTCCAAGACTCAGTTGGCTCGTCTGTAAAATGGGGCCGATCCTACCCAGGCTTTGCGGGTGTGCGGCCAAGGACGTGGTAACACAGGCACAGGGTCTGCCTCCCGGCCAGGCCCAGATAAGCACCCACGGAACAGCGGCTCAGGCAAATCAAAGGAACGGAATCTTGACTGCATCTAAGGCTGGAAAAACACAGGAATGTCCTCCGGCACTCGGAAGTTCCACTACACGGAACTTGACCTCTGTGTGCCTTTGGAATGTTATGCCGGCCTATGCTTGTGGCACTGCAAACTGACCATCACACACACAGAACTGGAAACTGCCCACCAAAGCGGGCACATCACCGAACCTGAGCCATGCATCCGCAGAAGGGGTTGCCGTGACACTGTCAAGCAAACAAGCCAGAGCACACTGACACCCTGGGTGGGAGTGTCTGCGTATACACCTTCCACACACCTGTCATTAGGTGAAAGCTCAATACCATTTTCCTGAAGATATTACCATAAACTTCATTTGCTGATACAGGGACTCAGTACAGATTGGGGAGTAGATGTTTTAAATTTTATACCTCTGAATTTTTGTTAAACCACGTGTTCATTTTGCTAAGGAAAAAAAACCCCACAGGCCCCAAATGGCATCACTCATGCTAAAGGCCTGTGGTACCAAACCCAGGCTGCACACCGGTCTAACTGTGGTTTCAGCCTCTCCCAGAAACGTGATCTTAACCAGTCTGGAACTTTCCAGCTAAGCACCAATAATCTGTCCCATAGGACCCTCGACAGGCGTCTGCACAATAAAACCCTTCCCCTTTTCCTCCCCCAAGAAAGGTGTCACAGCCCCCAAATAATCCTTCCTGTTCTTTTGTCAATAGTCCCCTTATCCCCCTTTCTGCCTATAAAAACCTCCCAGTTTTGCCCTGGCTGGTGTAGCTCAGTGGATTGAGCACTGGCTTGTGAACCAGAGTCACTGGTTTGTTTCCTGGTCAGAGCACATGCCTGGGTTGCAGGCCAGGTCCCCAGTTGGGGGCACACGAGAGGCAACCACACACTGATGTTTCCCTCCCTCTCCCTCTAAAAATAAATAAAACAAAAATCTTAAAAAAAACAACAACAAAACTTTGCATTTGCTCCGCCAAGTGCCATCTGGTTGCTAGATGGGAGGTGGCCCAATTCATGAATCATTTAATAAAGCCAATCAGATCTTCAACTTACTGCTGAACTTTGTCTTTAACAGTTTATATAACATGTATCACAAATACTTGTGTTACCAGGGTTATTTGGATAGCAGGATTATCGGTCATTTCTTTACTGTTTTTAAGGTTTTCAAGTGTCTGTAACGAGACCTGCCATCCCACCCACCTGTAAGGCAGTTCCGTGGCATTAAGTGGGTTCACACGGTTGTGCTGCCGTCACCTGCCCCCCAGAACTTTCCCAACAGTCCAAATGGAAACTGTCCTACTGAACCCTAACTCCTCATTTACTCCCCCTCCTCCTCCCAGCCCCTACTTCACGTCTACAAATTTGACTCCTCTGGGGACCTCACGTAAGTGGAATCATACAGTATTTGTTCCTCTGTAGCCGGCTTATTTCACTCAGTAGAATGTCCTTAAGGTTCTCGCATGTTGTAGCATGTGCCAGGATTTCCTTCCTTGTTCAGACTGAATCACACCCTGGCTGACACCCGCTGGGGCGGCTCACTGGACTGAGCACCGGCCTATGAACCAAAAGGTCACTGATTCGATTCCTGGTCGGGGCATGTGCCTGGGTTTCGACCGGGTCCCCAGCTGCAGGTGTGTGATTGATGTTTCTCTACCTCTCCTCTAAAAATAAATATTAAAAAAAGACAGAATCACATTCCATTGCATGGGCTTGCCACATCTTGTTTATCCATTCATTCACCCGTCATCGGGTCCCTGGGATGTTTCCACCTTCATGAACAGTGTGTGGATCTGTTCAAGACCCTGCTTCAATCCCTTTGGGTACATACCCAGAAATGGAATCACTAGATCACAATTGTTTAAATTTTTAAAGAACTGCCAGACTTTTCCACAGTGGCCATTATCATTTTGCGTTCCCACCAGCAATGCACAAGGGTACTCTCTTTTTAAATTGTTTTCTTTTGATGGCTGCTAAGGAGACTGAGTTGTGAACTTCTGGCTTATTCCTGGTGTTGCTGGTACTGTGTGGTTTATGAAATATGTGGAGTGTTCTCCGCTGGCAGCCCCTGACACCTCCCACAGCCATCTGGGAAAACCCCACACACCTGGGCCCTGACTGGTGGGCAGCTCAGGTGCAGCCGGGCAAAGTCATTGGACAAGAGCCCACCCGTCATGCACCAAGGGGAGAGATGCTGACTGGTGCCCCTCCTGCTGCCCCTGGGTAGGGTGGCTGCTGAAGAAAGTGGAAAACCTCTCGAGGGCACTTACCTCTACAGGCCCTCCCAGTGCCAGGGATTCCCGACGGGCTGGGTAGGAGTGCTGTCCCCGGAGGCCAAGGTGAGGTGCTTGAGTCAGGCCTCACTGCCTGTCAGCAGAGAATGTGGTGCTGGCAACACGCAGCGCCTGCAGCCTTGGAGATGGCCAAGCAGGCCTGGGCACAGGCTCCGGAGACCTGGCTGTGGGAACAGTTCCCACCCACAGGCAGCACCTGAGGGGGCCCCACCAGGCCCTTGATGAGGTCAAGCCCGCAGATTCTGAGACCCTCAAACCCCCTTCGCTTAGGTTTCTTGCTATTTGGACCAAGAACACCTGTATCGAATAAGGAAGTCAGGGTGAGTTATCAAAGATGCAGACTCCTGGGCCCAGGCCTGGACTTGAATTAAGATTCGGTACTGGGCCTAGAAATCTGCATTGCTGAGAAGCACGCTCATTTGAGTAGATTCAGTAAATAGCTGGCCTCATTCTCTGAGGAATAATTCAGAGGCAGGGGAGTAACCCCCCAAACTGAGGCTGTCAGAGGGCTCTTGGCATCAGCCTTGCAGGGGTCACTTCTGCCAGGCACACAGAAGGGGTTCAGGACAAGAGAATGAAGAACCAAGCCGGAGAGGAGGGAGCACCCTTCCTTAGGACCCTGCTTCCCTGCTCAGGTGAGGGACCTCAAGGAGAAAAGGACAAGGCTCCAGACTTACTACCTACCAGGCTCCGATTACCCAGGGAAGGATTAGCAGTCTGCGATTCCGATGATGGTGATGATGCTCACAATGGGCATCGTGCTCAACTCCACACGGGCTTTATTCCATCCACAGGCCAGAGGGGCAGATGTAGACCCCAGGCCACGAAGCTAAACACCCAGCCTGCCCTGCAAGGCCAAGTGTGGGAAAGCTGGGACTTTTAGAACCCTGTTCATCTGATTCCACGCTTGTGCTACAAATAACTGTGGGGGAGGGGAGTGAGGGCGGGGGTGGGAAAATGATGAGCCAGTTAAAACATCCCCTCATGTGCAACTCCAGAAGGCACCTGGGTGGCCCTTCCTGACCAGGTTGCTTGCTCTCCTAGCAGGTGGTCCAGTGGCACAGTCACAGAGCAGGGCAGCCTGATTCTACCCCTGCTTCCTGGGGCCCCCTGCCCCCGGGAGGTTTTTATGAGAACAAGTGACAGTGGTACAACCAGTTGGGACCTCTAGCCCCCTCCAAGCCAAATTCCTCCCGTTCTTCAATGTGGAACACGAGTATTCTCAATCCTGTATCAGATACTCTAACAATATAGCTTCATTAGGCTCTTCCACCTGGAACCCATGGGGGTAGAAAGGCGGGAGGGGCAGGTGGGAGGGGCTGAGGGAGCTAGCCCTGGTGATGCTGGGATGCAGGGGCCGGGACTGGACAGGACACAGATTCAGGGGCTCCTGCAGAGCAGAGGGCCAACCCAGGACAGGGGAGAAAGATAAGGGTGCTGACGGAAGAAGGTGTGCACAGGGCCTGTGCTCAAAGGCACATCCCTGACCTGGAGGGAATCTCAGGGGTCACAGTGATGAGCCTGACAAGCAAACATAAGACCCAGAGGGTGGGGCTCTGCTCACTCCCGAGCCAGGGGAATGGCCAAGAAGTTGCACCCCTTCTCCCCGCGCTGACTGGTAAGTAATGCCTGCTCAGAGGCTGCTGAGGAAGGGCAGGAGGCTGCACCCCGAGTGAGCACTCAGGCCATGACCCCAACCTGCCTGGTGGACTCTTTAGAAACCGCTCTATCGAATGATGCTGCCCAGGCTTTGGTTCTCATACTGAAAGATCCTTTTAACAGTAACTTTCCGTGCGTTTAAAATTTCAATGATCAGATGTTCTGAGCTCCAAAACCACTATACATTTCCGCTGATTTTACACTTTAGAACTTTCCACTTACATCAAAAATCACATTTTGCACTACTTTTGACTAATTTTGTTTTAATGGGAATTTGGGATTAGGCCCTCTGATGACCCCACAGATGCCGAAACCAGACACTGCCCTTGCACTCAGGCCAGCCAGCCAGAAACAGCCCAAAATCTGGCCAAAGACTCTCCCCTCAAGACATTTACCAAAACACACAGATGGACGGACCAGCTCAGTGTTCCTGAGATTCCCAATCCTACCAGCTCCCCACACTCTGGGAAGAAAGGGAGACTACTTATGGCAAATGATTCTAGGGTTGTATCAATGCATTGTAATAAAAAAAATTGATAACGGGCTTCCATTCCGATCAACCCAACACCATTCCTGTACAAAAAAGTTTTATTTGTTAATTAACTCAGGTGCACCTCTGTTCATGCTCTAGGTCACACCTGTTTCTCAGATCCGGCCCGGGCTCATAGGCAAGTTACCAAATTAGCAAATAGGAAAACTGTTCTGCAAAATAGCAGCTGTCAGCTTAAGGCATTACTAACATTGCAGAAGGAAGCGAGGTTACCAGGAAGTTTGGACAGCCCAGGAGGATGATTTCTGGGACAGGAAACCCTCCCTCCTCCTTAAAAGGGCCGATCCATGCCGCTGTCCGACTCAGGAGATGGTACTCTGGCTCTGGGTGACCCATCCACAACATCACAGACAAAGCTCTGTCTATTCCTCGCATTCAGGTTTAGAAATTAGTTATATAAAAAGCACTCTGTCCCAGAAGTCACAGCACATCTGTGGGCCTCCCAGAGGGCTCGCTCGGTCCTCCCTGCCTGGAGCAGGGGAGGATGGAGATATATGGAAGGTGGGTTGGGCTCAGTTTAAAAAAACAAAGTCACTACTAGAAATATGGAGCCAGGGGCAGAAACCCCTGCTGCAATCACATGCTGAGTCATTGTCCTCCCAGAGAGCGGGCTCCTACGGTTCTTTCAGTCCACGGAAATGCTCGGAGCAGGGCAGGCCAGTGTGGCCACGAGCTGCCGCCTGCCTCACTGCATGCCGAACCACTGCTCCTGGTCAGCCCACTGGGCCGCCTCACTGTCGCTGCCCTCCAGGTCCCCTTCTTCCCCACTCCCTTCCATGTCGTCCACATCCTCCTCCTGAGTGGCATCCGTGGGACTCTCCTCCTTCTCCATCTTCTGCATCCCCTCTAGAGACTTCTGGTCATTGGGGTCCAAACTAGGGGACAACAAAACAAAGGAGAGGCCTGAATCTCTGCCTTGCTTCTTGCTGGCTGATGCGTCATCTCCCTGGCACGGCAGTGAAATGACCCCGTCACGGGAAACGGCTCACGCCTGGCCTCTCCGGACAACTCCAGTGCCACGGGTGGGGTCGAGGGGGTCCATCACTAGAAGTGAAAAAAGGTGTCTTGTCCTAATGTTTAGACTTCTCAATTTGTGGTTTTCTTCACTTACTTCTTAAACCTTTTCATACGTTTCCCCTAGTTTTGACAGAGGAAGCTACCAGGTAACACAAAACCATTAACAGAAAAATCCAAATGTAATTTCTTAACAGAATTGAGTTTTTAAGCTACAGAATTACAAAAAAAAACCAAAACAAAAAACTGATTTTTCTGTGAGTAAAACTGTTCCATGTTCTTACAATATAAACATTTACAGCATTCAGTGGTTAATCAAACCTGTCCTTACCATGGAATAGGTTTGTCAGCTCCTAGGTTAGCTCACAGGACCCAGAGCGACCCCCACCTGGCTTTGAGTGCAGCAGCTACAAGCCGTCACATGTGTAGAAGCCCCCGAAGTTCAAAAGCTCAAGAACGTTTATTTGCCTGGCTCCTCAGCAACCTCTCCTCTTTTCTTTGGGCCCATATCCCAGGCCAGCCGGCGACCAATCTCTATCAAATCCCGCCTCTAATGAAAATCTGGCATTTTATTTTCTTGCTTGCTTCTGGGCTTCCAAAAAGCAAACAAAACTCATGTGGGAACCCTGTTCCTCCTTACGTAACTGTAGACTGATTTGTATCATCTCCTCTTCTCTGAATCCTTCCATACAGCTCTCACCCACACCCAGGGCTCCCCACCCTCTGCACCCCCACCTTGCCTTCCAGAGCCTGCTATGAAAGCACTTAGCACGTGGTATCCATCAGTGTGCACGTCTGAGACTGAGCGCAACTGGAACTGTAGCATCCCGAATGGTTACGGAGATGCCAGGCGCAGGAGTGGTGCTCAACTGCTGAATGGGCAAATGGACGTGATCAGACTCAGTTAAAGGCAGGCCTTCACCAGAACCTTACACACACACAGACAACCCTCAAAGAAATCACTTCTGTATTAAGCAGTAAGAATACCACTATTTATTTAGTATTTACTAGGTACCAGGCGCAGTGCTAAGAGCTTTACATGGAATAATCATTTAATCCCCATTTAATCATTTAATATCTAATAACGTAGATAGATATAGACAAGGAAATTTGTTAGTAACTTGCCCAAGATAACAGGTGGTAAAGGGAGTATTCAAACTTCAGAGCTTAAGTTCTTAACCACTACAGTGGGTAGAAATATGGGAAAGTATGTACAACACTTTGATTTGAAAAAGCAGAATATAAAATATATACTACATATAATCCTATAAAAATATGTGTGTGTATGGTCCAGGCCAGGAAGGTGACCAACACAAACAAAAACAGGTGTTCAAGTGGTACGAGCTGGTTACGAGTAGCATGGTTCTTTAATGTCGTTAAGATACTTAAGAAGAAAACTGTCGAAGCTGTGAATTCACAAATTACTCTTCTAGCATTACTATCATGACTCCGTTTTCAGCCGCGGACACAATGTGTGTGTGTGTTTCTGGACTTCCTGTGACAGTTCCCTGCCTTCTCTACCCCTCATCAACACCCAACACCCCCCGCCCCGGAAGCTAAGTGCCTACCTTAGTGCTATACTATACTGGTCCATTGCTTCCTGATACTCATTGACAGCTACAAGGAAATCTCCCAGGATCCGATGCAGGACACAGTCACTCTGATTAGCTAGTGCATTCCTCAGCAAAGCAATTCCATCTTCGTATTTCTGTTCTCTGCCTGGGGGTTGGGGCGGGAAGAAAAACCCTCATTTTCCAACTTCACAACATTCTGAAAATACATTCCCATCTCAAGTCTGATACATAAAACCACAACACTGATCACAATCCAACAATCTATTTGTAGACATCCTCAAGAGATCAGTGGTGGGGCAGGAAGTGAGAACAAGCTCACCTGGATTCCTATGCCATTAGGAAATCCACAGTTTGGGCTCTGATTTTTTTTTAAAGGTACTATTAACCTAAGTTCAAACAAAAAGCCAGCATGCATTTTATTTGCCAAACTAGCCCAAACCTAGGGGTTCCTTGTAAATTGGAATAAACAAACATAAAATTCCAAACCAAGGGTAAAGGGAAATCGTAACAGAATCCAGATGGGTCTAGTCCAAACCAGATCAAAATTAGCTGAACAAGAATCAACCAAGTACAGCTCCAGGACAGCCAGTCACTGTCAGTCCAAGCCGGTCTAAGCCAGCTGCACTCAGCTGTGCTAACCCAATTCACCTGGGCTCAGACCTACTGCAGAAGAAACAAACACACTTGTCTGACCACCTGAAACCAGTTGGACTAGGAAGCCAACTGAGATCGGGTTTTATAAAATGAACGACGAACAAGGAAGTAAATGAAATACACTTACTAAGTAGTTCCGCTTTTTTCACCACAGCCTTAATGTAATCTGGCCTTTGGTTGAGGGCTTTATCTAACAAAGTTTTGGCTTTCTCCTGTGTTACTGGGTCTTCGAGACAAACGGTGGCTAAAAGGGTAAGGGTCTGTGCATTTGCTCCTAGAGTTTTGTAAACGTTGTTAGCCATCACCATTGCTTCACGAATACTGTTGGAGGCTAAGTAACATTCAATGAGACCTGAAATAAAATGCAGAAAGACCAACCACATTACCATTCCAAGCCATGCTTCCACTCTGCCTGCCTTCCCAATTACAAACCTTCCAAGTTTCAGACAAGGAGAAGGTCACAGAAAACTTTGGTGGTGAGATCAGACTGTAGGGTATGTTGATGGAATAACAGTAAGTGCTCCTCTCCAGAGCACTTTGCAGACATGGAAAAAGCCTGCACTACAAAGCCACCTTCAGTTAGTGAAGGAAACACACACACCTAAGTGACTGAAGTGCAGGCAGCCCAGCTGAATGCTAGAGGAACAAACATGACACTCATCATTAGCTGAAAAGTAACAAATGTTTCCAACAAAACCCAAGGTTCCTCTTAACAAGCTGTTAACCCCCAGCTGTGTTCTATCACCTTCAGTCCTAGACTAAGCTCCTACAGTCAAAGTGAATGTCCAGTTCTACAAACGAAAGGCCCTTGACAACAACCCAAGGAGAAAGGAAGACTTTTTCATTTGAAACGTAAGATTTGCTCAGGGCTTCCCTAAACTAGATGGCAAGCACTTATCAGACAGACCCAATATACTGAGAGTGGCAGCTCCCGCCTCCTTTCATACCAACAGCCAGACAGACGCCCTATGGGGACACTTCAAGTAGAGACGACTCTCAACTTCTCATACCAAGTTGAGGAGAACAGAGGAAGTACTTCTTGGCATAAAACCCTCATCAAAACAGAAAAACAGCTTAAACCCCAAACCCACACAATCCCTGGCAAATTTTCTCTGCATACTCCTCCACCCTAGCAGCATTTATAACATTTGTGCACATTCCACCACACACTATGGTTACTTAACCAGAAATTACCTGACTCTTATTTAAGGGTAATATGTTACGAGTCAGAATATGGTTGTTTGCAACTACTTATTGAGAAATCATACGTCCCTGCTACAGCTTCACTGGGACGTCCAAAGGAAATGGAAAAAAGGCACTTCAGAACGTCGGGGTCACAACCAGTAAGGGAAGCTGGCCTGGAGGTTGCCAGAAGCAGCAGAAGGCATAACTAGAGCCACCCTGATCCAATCTCCAGATGGTGGCTTGCGCGAAGGCAAACTGTGAAGCCTCATCAGCCAGCCGCCTGGGTAACTACCTTTGCCACCAACAACTCTAACCAGCCTATGTCCCAAGCACTGTGGTGGTGGAGCTATTCAATTGCACTGCTGGGTCCTAGTGAACCAGACACCCAGCAGAAATTAGCATGAGTAAAGCAGCTGGGAAATAGGAAAGTTACTATTTTAGGATTGGATTATGAATTTTACTCCAGTCCTGGCTGGTTTGACTCAGTGGTTCAGTGCCAGCATATGAACCAAAGGGTTGCCGGTTCGATTCCCAGTCTGGGCACATGCCTGGGTTGTCGGCCAGGTCCCCCCAGTAGGGAACATGTGAGAGGCAATCACACACTGATGTTCCTCACCCTCTCTTCCTACCTCCCTTCCCCTCTCTAAAAAATAAATAAAATCTTAAAACAAAAACAAAACAATTTTATTTGAAACCAAAAGCTTGGTTTGCTGGGGTTTCTTTAAGAAGAAAGCCACAATAGGCATAACTCTCTGGCTATCTAAGCAGATTTGTTCTTCGCCCCAACTTCCAGGTTTTATTTTTCAAAATTGAACTCATCTTCCTGTTAACAGCAAATCACCCCTAGATTCTTCATGTTTTATTTTTGAATTCTTATAAAAAATGCTTTGGAGGAACTGCATCTTGTCAGCTCTATTTTAAAGTCTGTGACTGAATCATCCAGCACTGCTGAAGCTGGCGCAGCTCCTTTGAACCACAGGGTCAGCTCACAGGAACCTGAAATAGTTTGTAACGAACGAAGTTTGACCCCGACTGTGCCTGCTCTGGGGGCCACAGCGGACCGGCCGGTTCCCACCACCAGCACCACTGTATGAATACGAAGCGACCCTTTAGGTAATACTTCTAGCCCAAAGTAAGGCAACTGTGAACAAGAATAAAGACATAAAAAAATAACCAAGTGATTCAACACAGAGAGGTTCAACTCAGTGCCAGCACAGAGAGATTCGCATTGAGTTGGCCACGGTTGAGAAACCAAAAAGAAGAAAACAAACAAAACCCCCAAAAAAACAACCCTAACTACTACTCACTCACCAAAAACCAGGGGAAAAAAAGAATGAGAAAATGGAGTCTGAAAGTATAGAGTGAAAAATCCAGCGGAGTGGAAAATCCAGCGAAAGCTCTAAAGAAATTTAAAATGCCTAATGCAGTGATTCCCAAACTGGCCTGAAGATTAGCATTACCTGGGATCTTCAGAAATATTGATGCCTGCCTGCCTCCCACCCCCAAATATTCTGACTGAAATGGTATCAGAGTGAACCAGCACCAGATTTTCAGAAACTCCCCCCCAGCGGACTCCAAAAGCACAACAAAGTGTGGGAACTGTCAGCCTAACAAAACCTCCCGTCTGGGTGCTGTGGCCACGCCTACAGGTTCACACTGTCACCCATAATTTTACTTTACCTTCGTAACAGTCTAGGCGACAAGGCGCAAGCCGTATAGCCTCTCGAAAGTGGATTATTGCTTCTTGGACTCTGCCCATGTTTCTGAGTGCTGCTCCCTTAAGCAACAAAGCTTGAACACTATTGCTGTTCAGCTGAATGGCCTTGGCTCCTAAATAGAGGGCACGAGAGTAGCGTTTACTGTAGAAGCTATGGCACCTGGAGGAGAAAACAACCAAGAGTTTCTGAGTGACCGCGGGCATTCCACGTTTTACTGAACTTTGCTGCTCTTCACAGAGGTCGTGTTTTTGCAAATTGAAGGCAAGAACCTCCACCAACAAAAATATTATGCCTTGCTTTATTGCGGAGGTTGGACCTGAATCCACGGTATCTCCGAGGTAGGCCTGTGTAAAGAGACTTCATCCAAAAATTAAAACAGAAGACTTTCTACATAATCATTACAAACCAAACTTAACCTAAGATACTGGGTTGGCAAAAAAATCCATATGATTTTTTCCATCAAATAAAAGACACATTTTTCATTTTCACCAGTAACTTTATTGACTAGGATATTTTGAGAGTGTCAGCTATCTCCTGTGTGGTAGAACACTGACTGTTCTCAATGTCTTGATTTGCTCGCTATCAACTTCACCTGGTCACTTAACAGTGGCGTACCGTATAATGAGCAATCTCCAGCACGAAACTTTGCAAACCACTTTGACTTGTTCAGTCAGTCACAGCACCTTCCCCACACATGGCACAAATCTTTTTTTGTGTTTTGCTTGCATTTTTACCTTTCTTGAAATAATAAACTATAATATGCCAAAAATGTTGCGTATTTCCTTCCATCTTCAATATTAAAATGGCTACACAAAAATTCACCAATTTTGGTAAGTTTTTTTTTAAATACACGCTGATATAACAGCTGTTACAATACAGTCTAACAGAACTGTTTCGAATGAAGGTAAAGACAACTAAGTGCTACTAGGGCCATCTCATGGAAAAAACCAAGTGAACTTTTTGGCCCACCCAATATTAGTGAGAAGAAACCAGAACAAAAAAAACCAACCTACTAAGTATTTATTTTGATATAGGAGAAAATTATGGAAAAGAACCTGATGACCTGGATAGGTTATTAGATTGGACACATTCAGAGAATTTATAAAGCCAGGTCAATAACAAAGGAGCAACTCCTAGCCTGTTCACTGACCGCTTCCCATGAGTAAGCGCTGAGCACAATGCGCTCATGATCTCAATTAACACCCACCCCACGAGGCAGGGGTATGATCCTTATTTTCCAAAGGAGAAAAGAGATTGAGAGGTAGATCATGTGTCCAAAGTCAAAGATCATGACTTGAATCCAAGTCTGACTATCTCTTAAACTTGTGTTTTCAAACTATATCCTATTCGAGAAAAAACAAAATTTCCTCAGGAAATTTTGAAAACTGGGGAGAAAAGGGAGTGCATAAACATACCCAGAGACCACCCAGGGTTCTGCATGTTGATCAGAAATATTGAAAAGGCGGCAGCCAAGATTCTCCACATCCTCCAGCCGCCCTTCCCGTGCCAGGAGGTAGCCATATATATCCATTCCTAGAAAGGAAGAGGCTCTTTAAATGAAGCAGCAAGGCCTTTGTAGAGGAGAAGCAGCACCCTCAGAGCCCACACCGAGGCCCCAGCTCCTTCAGGGTCTGAGCCCTTTCCCTCATCAAGAGCTCCCTCCATCAACATTCAGTTTCCAACAAAATGACTTATAAAAAGACAAAACACATCCAAAACTTTAAAAAAGCAAAGAAGGTCCTACCTCACAATTGGAAAGCCTTTAATTTTCAGAAACTGTCTGTCCCTACACCCTGTGGCATGATATGCAGCTATCCTAACTCACAACCAGAAAGGACCAAAAACGGTATCAACTGAGTTCTCTCTCCCAAGAGGTGTAGGCACAGTCAGGAATACACAATGAATATGCCAGTTAGTCTTGGAAAAATGTTAGCCTTCTCCAGAAAAAGCATCTAGTTCTGGAGTCTAGTTCATGTAAGATCATCCCCCCCATTTTGTTCTTACTCATGTTGTAAGAACATGAGTAAGGGTCCAAAAAGGGCCCCTTGCTTCCTGTCACCCATCTCTCATCACCATTCCCCTCCACTCCTTGCGAAGATTACTGCAACACTCCCTGCCAGCCCCCAACTCTGCTCTGAGCTTCCAGCTCTAAACTGACTACTACCAGACCAGTATTTCTAAAACACCATTTTCATCACGGGCATGGGTAGCTTGGAGAAAAGATAAGCACTGAGCAAGAGGGAGTCCTTGAATAAACAAATTCGTCTTTCTAAATGTGCTTCCTCCTCCCCCTGCTCTGTCATTCTAGTGGCTACAAGACTTTACTGTAAGAAGGTCATGCTCATGGCCTTTTGGGGGACTTTACAAGCAGACTTCAGCCCATCTACTTGACCTTATTTCCCACTACTATTCCTGAGCACACACTTTTCACTTACTGCCAAGTCACCCAATAGCCCTCCTTCAGAAGTCCCCGTGGCTACCCCTTCAGCTGCAATCTTATTTGAGATCAATAATTGTATTTGTTATTCACTCCTAATTACTTCAATTACCTTATCCCTTTCTTTTTATTCACTTATTCCTTTTTAATTACAATAGGGACACAGTAAAGCTAAACTCCCTAAAAGGATATCATGGCTCTGGGTATGCCATCCAAATTCTCAGCCAGGCACATCATAAATCTATAAACCATAAAAAGAGGCTGTGACTCCTAAAAAAAAAAGCTAAATAATGATCTGTGGTGAGATGACTCTTGAATGAGCAAAAACAACTGCTCAAATGGAACTACCCAAGTGTTCGAGTGTTAGAGACTTGTGCCAAGTGTTAGAGACTTGTGCCAAGGCCTATAAAAAGGTAAAAGGCCACTGTAATACATTTTATAAACCATTTCCCTGAAAAACGACATCAGAAGATCATCCTAGCCCTGGCTGGTGTAGCTCAGTGGATTGAGCGCGGGCCTGAGAACCAGACAATCGCGGTTCGATTCCCAGTCAGGGCACATACTGGGGTTGCAGGCCAGTTCCCTGCAGGCCAGTTCCCAGCAGGGGATGCACAAAAGGCAACCATACATTGATGTTTCTCTCCCTCTCTCCCTCCCTTCCCCTCTAAAGATAAATAAATAAATAAATAAATTTAAAAAAAAGCCTTAAAAAAAAAAAGATCATCCTACATTTTCTCCCTATCTTCTCTGACCTGCCTCTCTATAGCCACTGCCACTGTGCCCCAAGAATTACTTACCTTTTATCAGATAAGGATCCAACATCTGTGCTTGTTCAAATTTGAGGACAGAGTTTTTATTGTCTCCAGCTCTGAAGTACAGGTCTGCTAAGCTCCCCAGTAGATCCACGTTATCACGCAACAACGACTTTTTCTCTAGTGAACTTTAAGATATTAAACATTGAACCTTAAAATGTTATGAATCCTTTTAGTTGTTAAATCTGGGTAACAAGCATATAGGTACCATTTTATTTTGTTTATGTATAAAATTTTTCATAAGAAAAAAACATTAAAACAAACTGTGTGTAGTCCTGGCCTAGTAGCTCAGCTGGTTAGTGTCCCAATACACCAAGGCTGTAGGTTTGATCCTACAGGACACATACAAGACTCAACCAATGAATGAATAAATAAATGGAACACAAACAGATGTTTCTTCTCTCTCCCTTCCTATCTTCCTCTAAAATCAACCAACAAAACTTTTTTAGAAAACTGTATACACTGGACTGTCTTATTCTGAGCTTATCATTTTTTAAAAAGTCATAGTAAGATAGTAAATATACAAAGTAAAACAGACATCTCTTGTTCCCTAGACAGAACTTTCTGGTTGCAGTTTTTCAGTGGACAAACACATATGGTGTTAAATGTAATGTCATTCACAAGTGACAGCTACTTACTACTCAACCAAATGACTGTATAACACAAACCCCAGTCTGTTGTTCTTGGACCCGACCTGACTAAAATAAAAAGAAAATCCCATCCTAGACACGCAACCCAGAACAGATACTGCAATAAATTATGCTTCTGGGGCTGTGCAAAAAGGTGTCTTCCAGGTTTAAGCAAGACACACTAAAGCACTCTGCTTTGCAAGGGTTATTATTCTGCAAGTACAGAGCTAAACTCAGTCCAAGTTTACATTCAACAGGTGCTCAGCAGAGACATTACATTTGGGACCATTCAGTACATAACAGACTGACAAAACCCAGGGCAGCTGGCTGCAACACCAAGAGATAAGCATCTAATTTTTTTGCTTTGCTAATTTAGCTACATCAGACCTCCTCACAAAGGGCCTTGAGAATATACTGAATTGATTCTGTGGCTCTCACCAGATGGTATTGATTGCTCTCGAGTTGTCCCCAGTATGCACAAAAGCATATGCTTTGATCCACACAGAGAGCCAATCCAAGTTAGGCACAGTCTGGATCACGTTCATTGTCATCGACGCCACCTCTGCACCTTTTACAGAGAGAGACAGCAAACCTAATCCAACAGAAAGCAGGAGATAGAAGGTGAGACATGGCATCGCTCTTCAAGTAGCAACAGATTACCCTTTCCATGGGCTATAAGGTAACCCATTCTTTCCCTATTCAAATCAAGATGGTTATGACAGAACAAACAATTTAATATTTCTTGATCAGTGAAATCCATGATAATGGTAATCTATTATATCACTCTCTAGAGGTAAAACTTTTTAGAAAACAAAGCTATTCTAATGTACAGCCAGGACTGAGAACTACTACCTCCCGGAGTGAACACTTCATAAACACAGGCAGAGAAGGATCCGTACCAAGAATAGCATCGAGGGCCAACGGACACTGCCTCAGCACTTCCTTGTAGCTGGTGACTGAAGGGCGCTCCTGACCAGCCTTCTTGTACAAGTTTGCCAGCATCATGTTTATCTGTAATAAATAAAAACAGAAGACAATTAAGATTAAGAGTATATTGCGAAGAAAATATTTCACCATCAATTTAAGCCCTAAATTTTATTGCCAGCTACTACTTTACTTTCTACCAGAAAATCTACCCACAGCCCCATGAAAATAAACAAAGGCCAACCCCATCTTCAAATCAAACAAAAAATTACTACCTCTGTATTTCCTATGTCCCCCATTTCTAAAAGGAAAATCAAATTCCTTTCACTTGCCCAACCGAAAGGTCCAATAATATTTGGACCAAAGATGCTGCCTCTGGAAATGGGAGTAACACTCATCTGAGAAATGTTACAGAATTCTAATTACCTTGATTCTTTCTTGATCTTGATACAGACAACAGACTACCTTAGAAGTGCTCAAGTTAAGCCCTGGCTGATGTAGCTCAGTGGATTGAGCACGGGCCTGTGAACCAGATAACCGCGGTTCGATTCCCAGGCAGGGCACATGCCTGGGTTGCAGACCAGTTCCCTGCAGGCCAGTTCCCAGCAGGGGACGCACGAAAGGCAACCATACATTGATGTTTCTCTCCCTCTCTCTGTCCCTTCCCCTCTAAAGATAAATAAATAAAATATTTTAAAAAAAAAAAGATAAACACTGATAAAAAAAAAAAGAAGTGCTCAAGTTTACATATTTTAAGTGCAATTAACATCAAGGTATAGAAAGTGACGAATTCTTAACATGGTTAGTTAGGAAAGATCAGATGAATTTTCCCCCAAAAGGAAATGACAGATACAAAAGTACATTACTTGGCTTCTCTCTGACAGTCTAGCAGCCAGACTTTAGCCTTTCTAATGCTGACAGCTTTGATCAATAGGCACTAACTTATCCAAGTTATGCTACAAAAATCAAACTTTAACTGACCTTTACAGGCAACAATGATCCAGACATAGTTACACTATTTAAGTGGCATAATTCAAATATGTAACTCTGTAAAACTCTATAAAAATAATCCTTCCAAAAATGCAACAGGGAAAATTTTGAGAAAAATCTAAAATTTCCAACGAATACAGGAGTTAAAGGAAAGGTATAAATGATCTTAAAAGTCCAAAGAGAAAAACACAATATTTCAATTTAAAATTAATAGATCATAATACAACACAGAGGTTGCCAGATCATTAACCTAAGGAAGCAGTCAACATGAAGGCACAAAAGAAAAAAAAAGCCAACCCTAATTTAGTCTCATCAATTCTCTGTAGCTTTGTACACGAGATTTTACTCAAAAGAGTGGCTCTGAAGATGAAGAACACCTGTTCCAATTATAGACTTAGAGTGTATAAAACAATCTAGTATGGCGTTAATCCATGCTGATTCAAACAATGAAATAATGAAATATCAGAAATAAAACTATTTTTTATTTGGCCTCAGATTTTTCCATTTTAGGCTATATTGAAAATGCAAAAGAAGATACTTAAAGAAAAACTTCAGTATCTTTGCCAAAAGTTAAAAGAACCCCCCCCCTCCCTTCCCCTCTAAAGATAAATAAATAAAAAAAATCTTTAAAAAAAAAAAAAAGAGTATAAGGTTTAAATTTAAGAACCTTTATTGACTGCTTGTTATCAACCATCCTGAGTGATGGACCAACAAATATTAAAATTCCCCTTAAACCACCTGTCACTACAAAAGGATGAGTTTTGAGTACTACCTAGTGAGAAAGTCCATTCTTTTTAAAACACTTACTTGGGAACATCACAAAGCCACATTCCACCAGTCATAAACACAGACAGTCATAATTTTCTAAAAACTGAGTGAGAAATTGTATGTTGGTATGTTTATATTCTCAACAGCTGAAGATTTACCAAGATAAAATAATCTCACACTGGAATTTTCCTTTAAAATGTGAAAGAATGTATGGCCATGTTTCTCACACGTTAACAGAGGTTCATTTAGATATATTTTGACTCACTTCCTTGTCCTTTACACAGACTGAGAAGCCAGTTAACTCCCTAATGGACAAGAAAGAAAAACTGTAAATATCATGTTCGAGGCATATATCTGTTTGCTCCTGGCTACCACAGCTCCACAGAATGAAAGAACATTAACTCCAAGTAAATGCAGATTCCTGCAGTCCCCCGTAAATGACGGCAGTAAACACCAAAGTGCTGGACACCACAAAACTGACTTCGTCATTACCCACTGTTCCTAACCCCCTTCAAGTCAATGAAGAGAAAATAATGGTGCATTTCCAATAAGATAATGAAGAGGTATAATTCAAATTTGACAATCAAAACAACATCTTCCAAAAGGAAGGTATTCTCTCTTTTTTTAACTTTTTGGAAGATTTTACTTATTTATTTTTAGAGAGGGGGAGGGAGGGAGAAAGAGGGAGAGAAACATCAATGTGCGGTTGCCTCTCCCATGCCCCCTACTGGGGACCTGGCCCACAACCCAGGCGTGTGCCCTGACTGGGAATCCAAGCAGCACCCATTTGATTCACAGTCCAGTGCTCAACCACTGAGCCACACCAGCCAGGACAGAAGGTATTCCTCATATATACAAAAAATTATTTTGGGGGTATTACAGTCTTTCATAGGGCACCAGAACAGAGTTCAATATATAAACATTCCAGCTTACTATGAGACAAGGACAGTCTATAATACACTTCCAAATGTTAATAGCAACCATGATAAAACATACTGCGGGAATAGCTTAATATAAAAACTCAGAAAATCATAAATACACCCTCAATTTGAAGAGATACTTAAGCACATTCGCATCAAGTTTGATTATTTTTACTTTGAAAACTCAGCAATGTTTAGGTGAAAAAACACTAACTAAATACACTAGGTCCTCATTGCTTATATTCCTTTTTTTTTTTTTTAAGGGCAGAAGGATGAATACAGACATCTGACAGACAAAATCCCTCATTGTTAAGCACAAGACAGAAGTTTTTCAATGAAGAAAGATAGGTAATATGAGAGTACACGGTAAAATATTAAATACTGGTGTGAATTCAATACTAAGAACAAGGATTTGCAGTGTTCTTCTAAACTATACACAAAAACAAAACTAATCAAAGATGCCCAATATAACACTCCTTACAGAATAGTTCTTTAAAAAAATAAAGTTCAGCCCTGACTGGTGTGGCTCAGTGGACTGAAAGTCAGCCTATAAACCATAGGGTCACCAGTTCAATTCCCAGTCAGGGCACATGCCTGAGTTGTGGGCCAGGTGCTCAGTGGGGGGCGTGCAAGAGGCAACCACACATTGACGTTTCTCTACCTCTCTTTCTCCCTTCTCCACTCTAAAAAATAAAATAAATAAAGCCATGTAAAAATATACATAAATAAACAAACAAATAAATACCATTCAGATTGGTGACTCACTTAAGTAGAAACTACCCACAGCTTATATGCCCAAAACTCAGACAAGGTACCATATCTCTCTATTTTAGTTGAAGGTATTCAAGCTACTATAACATGTTGACAAATCAAATGCAAATATATATCCCACATACAAGTTAAGTCCAAAGGGATCTTGTAGACTTGATTTTGGAAATGAAGGGATTAATAAAACCACTCATCATCAATTGTGTGCATCTGCAGGATGCAAAAAATGAGGTTCTAAAACAGATTGTTGTCTCCTGGAAGTATACTGCAAATCATTCTTTTCTACAGTAAGAAAAACCTAAGAATAGGCACTTGCAGTATTCTCCAGCTATCACTTTCATCAGCTGAATTTTCAGGGTCTCATAAGATCACTATTCTACCCCTCTGAAGCCCTAACCCCATTAACAAGGGAGCAAAGTGAAAATTAGAGGCAAGAATGAAATGACAGAGAAAACATGGAGAAGAGGGGTGGAAGGAATGGGGAGTTAAAATGATTTAACAACTCACTTTGGGAGTTCTCTGTCTTGAAGGGATCCCGTCAAGTATAGCAATGGCATCTTTATCTTGCTTTAGCATTGTGTAACACTCTGCCATCTTGTACTTCACTTCAATTTCAGATGGAAGACACTACAAGGGAATGAAAACATCTCTTCAAAATACTCAAGTACGGGAATTCAGCACATACACCTCCATCTTGTTTTTCACTTAATAATTCCATCATATTCAAACTTATGGCTATAATTTAACTAGATCTACCTAATGAACACTTTTGCTTTATTTCTTGCCATTATAAACAATGCTGCAATAAGGAGCCTTTGGTATATATCCTGTAAATCTTTTGTGAGTCTACTATTATATTAATTTCTAGAAATGGGATGGCTCTGTCAAATGATGAAATTACAATCCCTCCTTCATTTAATTATTAAGCAGCTATAAAAAATGGACAGGAATTCTTACATTTCCCATATACTTCCCTAGGTACTCACAGTTGTAACATTGAAGTTCCATTTTATAATGCTAATGACAATTGTACTGTCATTAGCATTATAAAAAAAATTTAGGTTTTGAATTTTTTAATGAAAGGAATAATGCATGACTCTGCTTATAACCCAGGTAATTCACAGTTAATTCCATTTTTAGATTCATCCACAGTGAATTTTGCTTTAAGCCCTTAATGTTTGGTTCAATGCATTCTTTCATCTAAGTGATTTTTTACCTTTGTTTCTCCAGTTAAGTCCCCTTTAAAATTACATTTTATTTTACCATTTTCTACATCTAATCTGCAGTCTTGTAAATTCTTTCAGTCTTTCGCTCCCACCGCCCCTCTACCCCCCATTGCACTTATCTACAATTACCTGACTCTGTGGAGTGGATGCAGAATTTCCAGTTGAAGGTCTCACTTTTGAAGTTTTACTTAAGGCTTTCTTCTGCTGCAAAGCCATGGTGTACTTACTCACGGCATTCCGATATTCCTTATCATGAAAGAGAGCATCTGCATGATACACCAAAAGCTGGTACTTCTGAGATGGGGAGAATAACTCACTAGAAAACAAAGAAAGGATATCCCTTACATGGGCTGTTTTGAAATATTAGAAAATACACGCCTGCCCTCAGTGTCTCCTCTTAGTGTCCGAGCTGAGCACAAAACCTTATGCAATGACAGTTTACGAGAAAGTAAATGTACCTTAAGTGCAAGTTCCTAAAATTAGAGGCATGAGAGTCGTACTCTATGCTATGTGGTCAACACATCTAGGAAACTGCCTTAAATCCTTGTTTTAATGTGTTTCCTTTACTCACTATAAAAGCAATGATACTTGTAAATCTGTAGAGGTATACAAAGAGAAATATCCCTTTTCTTCCCCTTCTTTAACCCAAGCCTTCTTAATTTAACAGTCTGACAGATATCCATACTCCCTTACATTAACATCCATTTTTAGGGTAAGACAAAGAACAATCACAATGACTTAACCAGTATTACCAAAGAAGGGATGAAAACTCAGAAAAGAGAAACTTCACCACTTGAATCCTTTTAAGGAAAGTGCTGAACGAAAAGGTTTGTAGAACTGAACACTCTTCAGATATTGAAGAAAACAGGAATAGTGAAACGTGGAAATATGGGAATAGGATAGGGTAAGCAAATAGGATAAGAGGATTAGCCTTATTTGATAAAGTCTTTTTTTCCCTTCAATTTTATATACAAAAGCAAATTTTACTAGCACTAGAAGAATTTCCATCTCCTGGAGTCTCAGGAGTTTAAGGACAGTATAAGGAAACCAACGTTCCAAAACTTTCTCTAACTGTGAATGTTGCTCACAAGCATTTTAAATGCCTATAAGCTGGCTACCATTCTTAATAGGAAACTCATATTTTTAATCTCCAATCCCACTCCTCCTTCCCAAATTAAAAAGTTTACATGTTTTTCTTTGACAGGTGAAAGCTATAAATGCTTAAAATGAAAGAATAATCAAAGAACTCTGTGGACAGTTAATTTCTTTAGATCAGTGGTTGCCAGGGACTGGGAAGGTGAGACTGATGAGTGACAACAGACAGATACGGCGTTTCTCTCCCTGGTAACGATGTATTGGAATAGACAGTGGTGATGTCTATTCCAACTCTGTGTATGTTTAAAACCAAAGACACAGGTTATTTTAAAAGGGTGAATTTCATGGTATGTTAATTTTATCTTAATAAAAATTAATTTCTTTAAAAAAGGAAAGTTTAAACACAGGATATAGTTTTAAAAAAATTCCAAGGACCGTAAAGTTGAAAGGTAAAGTCCAAATAGTTAAGATCTCTTCCAACACTGAGATTCTATGTATTTAATGAGAAATAAGATTTGATAGAAAATGTTACTATACTCTAAAAGCATTCAGATATTTCTATATTGTAACACACATACCTACTTACGCATGCAGAAGTTATATCTGGAATGAAACAGGAGAAACTGTTAATAGTCGTTTGCCTCTAGAGAAGGGAAATGGTGTGGTGAGGTTCAAGACTCAGGGACACTTATCTGAAAATCCTTTCTGCTCTGCTTGAATTATTTCACTGTGTTATACTGCCAATGCAGTAAGAAATTCTAAAATATAAATAACAAAGGTCAGAATTTAAATGTCTCCTAAAGCTAGGAAACTGCCAGTTTAACCTACTATGAAGAAGTCCAACTCTGGCTGGTGTAGCTCAGTGGATTGAGCACCAGCCTGCAAACCAAGGGGTTGCTGGTTCCATTCCCGGTCAGGACATGTGCCTGGGATGAAGGCCGGTCCCCAGTACGGAGTGTATGAGAGACTACCACACATTAATGCTTCTCTCCCTCTTTCTCCCTCCTTTCTCTTCTAAAAAAGTAAAATTTTTTAAATAAAAAAAAAAGTTCAGAGGATCAAACTGCTTCCAGCTATCTTTGTAACAGCTTCAAGAGCCCAGAACAATGACTAACTGGTACATAAATACCCAGTGGTGGAAACTGCCTTGACAAATCACTCAGAACCAATGAACGGCTCCAGAATAAACAGAGAAGGCTGACAGAGACCAGGGCTCCTCCCTGTCAACACTAAGTGGATGGTGGCAAAATGATGGGTTGCTCCGAGTGAGGTCCAAAAGCATAAAACCGGGAGCAGTAGCTGCACTGCAGGCACTTAAGGGGCCTTTCTGTTCTGCCCTAGAGAACTTCAAGAGCAGACCACATGCGGATGGGTCCACTCTGAGAAGATGATTCCACTGTTGTTATCATTTAGAGGCAGTAGGCAGTGGTAGGTCAGCATGGAGACCATCAAGTCCAAGGACCAAAACCCAGACATCGTGACTCCTCCCCTCACTAAACATGTGAACTCCAACAGGGCTATTTGCCTCCTGAAGGTTGTATGCACTTCTTTAGCACATTCAACACATGTGTGAGTGATTCTGTACCAGGCACTGGGCTGACTGCATTAGGAGGGGGTAGTGATGCAGAATATGGATCCTAAAACTTCCTCTTTCTTTTCAGAAGGAAAAAACCTGTAAGTACGTGTAGTGATGGATGTTAACTAAATTTATTGTGCTGATCACTTTCACAATATGTAAATACTGAACCATTACGTTGTACTCCTGAAACTAATTAATGTTACATGTCAATTATACCTCCATTTTTAAAAATAAGGTGATGGAGAACGTCAAACAGGACAAAGTGATAGAAGAGTGAGAAGAAGGAACAATTTTGATGAGCAAGGAAGAGGAAGAGTTCTCCAGAAGGACATCTGAGTTGAAACCTGCCTAAGGCGGCAGATCTGGTATGAGAACTCGAAGCAGAACTGCAAAAGCCCGGAGGGGACAACGAGCTTGGTGTTTTCCAGTGTCCGAAGGTGGCGACAGGGAGGCTGGAGGACGATGAGCAGAGTATGAGATTAAATCTGGGAGAAAGGAGTTTGGCCCCCTTGGCCGTGGGAAGGAACTTTAATTTCAGCACAGTGGAGAAATTTAAGGAAGGGGAGCGACATGCACTAAAGGTTGGAAAGAGCCCCGCCCCTCTTCCCTCGTTCAGACTCAAGAAAGGGCACTTCTGAAAACGTGAAAGGGGGCCCTTGCCAGTCCTCGCATAGGCGCTTCTCACACCCAACCCGGGGGTTGCAGTTTTGGGGGTTTGCCGAGGCGAGGAAGCGAACCCTCCTAATACACTCAAGGGGAAACATCCATCTCGGATGCGCGACAAAGGCGACTGGGTCTCGGAACTCTGGTGGGGGAGACGGTGTTCTTCGAAAGGCGCTGGAAGAGAGCAATCGGCCCAGCGAAGTGACAGTCGCTAAGCCTGGCGACAGGTACCTCAGGAAACCCTACGCTCCCAACTTGCGGGAAACCCTGGCCGGGATCGTCCTCTAGAGCCTTCGCCTTCCATTTCTTGAAGCCACTGGCGCCGCTCGACACGTTCCCCGCAGGGACCTCATCTCAGCGCCGGGCATAACGCAGGGACCCAGTGAACTCAACTTGTGTTCCTAAGTCGGCTGCGCACGACGGGGCCCCACTGACCCCGGGGCCCAAGCGGAAGCCTGCGGTCGCTCCTTCCCGCCTATCCCCAGGCCCCCTCAGCCCCCGCTCCCGAACAGGCTCCGCTTTCTCCTCAGCCCCAGGCCGCTCCCCGCCTCAACTCACGGGTTGTTATTACTCATTGTAAGTAACAAGCTGCTCAGGAGCCGCACGTTGGAGTGCAGCCCTGCGGCTGCCATGTCTCGCACGTGGTCTATCACATTCATCCTGCCCGGCAAAGCCGCGGGGAGCGGCGACAGCGGCACGAAAAGCCGGTAGGAGATCCTGAGAGAAGACTCCAAAATGGCGGTTTCGCAGGGGTCCATCGGGACCACATGTGGCCCCGCCCCCAGGAAAATAGGCAACTACTGAAGTGCCTGGATAAAAACCTCCATTCCCACCACCTCAACCCGGCGGTGAAATGATTTGGTTTCGGGTCTCCTTTTGTTTGCTTTAGCAAAAGCCACACCATCATTGTAAGGCGCACACTTTATTGAGGACTTACAATGCAACGGGGACAAAAATACATGCTCAATCGAAATGAGTCTGGGGGTCGTGTCTCTCAGAAACTAATAAAATGCATGAACATTTATCATAAATAAAAGTGAGTATACTGGGTTATGTATGGTGGCATCCCTAGCAGCTGTATTTAAATATTTTAATCAGGCGCCTGGGGAAGTCCTGCTTCTACGGTCACGCATGCGCACCACCCTCAAAGCCACGCCCCCTCTTCAAAGCTATTGTGCGTGCCTGCTGGAGCCAGTCTTCGTTCACCCTTTAGTTAAAATTCCTTGGTTATGAAAGGGTCACTTTTGCCCTGTGAAAGGACTGACTAGCTCAGAGTGAATAAAGGCTAGGTTGAGTCTGAGCCGTCCTAATATGTGTTGTTTTAATTTCCAGTTCCCTAATGGACATGATGAATATCCTCTCATATGCCTAGTCTATATCTCTTACCTTCTTTGGTGAGATTTCTGTTCTGAGCTTTTTCTGACTTTTCAGTCGGGACGCGTTCTTCCTGTTCAGTTTTAAAAGTTCTTTGTACATTTTGAATAACAAGTTTTGTTTTGTTTTTAATCACATACATGTTTTGCAAATATTTCCTACGTCTGTGCCTCGTCATATTCTCTTGGGCACCTCTCTTTTACCAAAAAACAGAACACACACAAAAAAACCCCACCATTTTCAGTAATAATCCTGCAGTGATGGTCAACAATGGCCAGAAAAATAGAACAGAGAGTGAAAATATTATTTTATTAAATTTCAACTAAATAATGAGGTGAGTACAATTTTAATTAAATAAAACTGATTATTAAAATATAAAAAGGTAATGGAATCATACCTTTTAATTACATTAATATGTTTAAGAAAGATTTTTATCCTATATATTGGATTAACAAGAAATGAATAAACCCTGGCGGGAGTGGCTCAGTGGATTGAGTGCTGGCCTGCAAACTGAAAAGGTTGCTGGTTGGATTCCTAGTCAGGGCATGTGCCTGGGTTGCAGGACAGGTCCCCAGTTGGGGGCATATGAGAGGCAATCCATTGTTGTATCCTTCACACATCAGTGTTCTTTCTTGCTTCCTTCCCCTCTCTAAAAGAAATAAAATCTTTTTTAAAAATAAAGAGAAAATGAATAATATAGTGTCTGGTTTGGTTCCTTAACTTTTGCTAGTTTGCTAATAAAGTGTCAAAACATTGTTCAATTAGCACTATAAACAGTTTTGTCGATTGTGGGAGCACTGCCTTGGTGTGCCATGAAAAGACCTGGAAGGAACTTTTAAATGCACTGAAAGAAGCCAATCGCTAAAGGCTACACACCGTGTAGTTCCAACTATATGACATTCTAGAAAAGAAAAAACAGGAAAAAAAAAATCAGTGGTTGCCAGGGCTTGGTGGGGCAGATTGGGGAGGGGGAGGAATAAGTGGAGCATAGATTTCTATAGCAGTGAAACTATGCGACACTAGAATAGTGTACATGTTATTATATATTTGTCAAAACTCATAGGATGGGGACTTCCGCCAAGATGGAGAAGTAGGTGGAGGGTCCACCTCGCCTCTGTGCACAACCAAATCTAAGAACAACTATTTTTAACAGCAGTCACAACCAAGCTATACGGAAAATCAACAATACGGAGTCCAAAGGACAACCAGATACTCGGCTGGAACGGTACAAGGAGCGAGACCAGAAGCGGAGCAGGTTAGCCAAAAAAATTCCCGGGGCGGCAGTGCGCGGCGCGCGCAGGCGGCAACCGAGGGCTGATCGCCAGTGAGCTGGCTGCGGAGCGCATAGGGAAGAGGCGCGGTGGGTCGGTCGGTCGCGCGCAATTACGTGCGGAGAAACCAGTGAGAAGGGAAAACCCGAAGCGCGGTGCAGCAGGCTCGCAAAATTAGGATCGGATAAGCAAGCCCGAGGCGTTTGTGTGTGTGACTGGATGCTCTGGGCTAGCGGAGAGGAACGCCATTGCTCCTTCTCTGACCCCGCCCCCCCACACAGCGTCACAAACCAGCGACCTGGGTCGCCCCGTCCTGGTAAACAACTAAGGCTTCGCTCCGCTCACTTAACAGCGCGAACAGACCAAAAATGGCTCTAGAACAACTCAGAGCCCCAGAACCGATAGACCTAAGTGATGAAGAAATAGCCAGTCTTTCAGATGCACAGTTCAAAACACTGGTTATAAAGATCCTTACAGAACTGGTTGACTTTAGCCACAAATTAGAGAAACATATGGAAGCTAAATTAATTGAAATGAATGGGGATACAAAAGATTCCAATAATAATGGAAAGAAAATTGGGACTCAAATCAAGGGAGAGAACCAGACGGAAGAAAAAAATGATAAAACAGAAAGGAATGAAGAAATAAGAATTCAGAAAAATGAGGAGAAGATTAGGAACCTCCAGGACATCTTTAAACGTTCCAACATCCGAATTATAGGGGTACCAGAAGGGGGAAAGGCACAACCACCAGTTGAAAAATTATTTGAACAAATAATAAAGGAGAATTTCCCCAAGATGGCAAAGGAAATAGACTTCCGAGAAATCCAGGAAGCTCAGAGAGTCCCAAAGAAGTTGGACCCAAGAAGGAACACACCAAGGCACATCATAATTACATTAGCCAAGATTAAAATGAAGGAGAGAATCCTAGAAGCAGCAAGAGCTAAGGGGACAGTCACCTACAAAGGAGTTCCCATCAGACTGTCAGCTGATTTCTCAAAAGAGACCTTACAGGCAAGAAGGGGCTGGACAGAGGTATTCCAAGTCATGAAATCCAAAGACCTACAACCAAGATTGCTCTACCCAGCAAAACTTTCATTTAGAATGGAAGGACAGATAAAGTGCTTCTCAGATAAGACCAAATTCAAGGAGTTCATCATCACCAAACCCTTACTATATGAAATGTTAAAGGGACTTACCTAAGAAAAAGAAGATAAAAAAGATGAACAGTGAAAGGACAGCAAACTCACAGTTATTAAGAACCACACCTAAAACAAAAGCAAACTAAGAGGATAGCTAGATCAGGAGCAGAACCATAGAAATGAAGATCACATGGAGGGTTGTAGCAAAGGGGAGTGGGAGGAGGGGAAGGGGGAGAAAGGTACAGAAAATAAGTAGTACAGACAGTAGATAGAAAATAGATAGGGGGGAGGGTAAGAATAGTAGGGGAAATACAGAATCTAAAGAATTTGAGACACATGTTCATGAACTAAAGGGGGAAATGGTGGGGGGGGGGTATGCAGGGTGGAGGGGAGGGGAGGGGGGAATAGAGCAAATGTAATGGCATAATCAATAAAAAAATAATTAAAAAAAAAAAAACTCATAGGATGTACAACAAACTGTGGGCTTCAGCTGGGAACGATGTGTCAATGCAGGCTCATCAGAGAGACGCAGGGGGCATGTGGGTACATGGGAACTCTCTACTTCCCATTTAATCTCGCTATGAACCTATAATTGCTCTAAAAAAGAAGTGAATAGAGGTATGTGTATATAAAAGCTGACCTGCTCTGGGTGCCAATACATGCTCGATGCACCCCTGCATCTAACACTTAGAACACCGTCTGCCACACTGTAAAACACCATAAATAGTGCCACTGTGCTTTTTTCTACTTCTGAAATATTTAGTAGTTAAAACCACATCGGATAATAGTCAAAAGGTGGGAACAATTCAAATGTTCACCAACTGATGGCTACATAAACCAAATGTGGTATCTCCCTACAGCGTAATCTGATTTAACAAAAAATTAAAAGAACAAACTGATGATAACGACATAGAAGGATCTCAAAAATACCATGCTAAAAATGAAATCATGCTATGTGAAAGAAACCAGACAGGAAAAAAAATCACATAATCTTTGACTATACTTATATGAAATGCCCAGAAAGGAGGAACTGATAGCAACAGAAGACTCATGGTTCTTGGTAATAAGGGGAGGAATGGGGGTGATTGCAACTGAGCAGGAGGGACATTTTGGAGGGTGATGGGTATATTCTAAAATTGGATTGTGATGACTGCTGCTCAGCTTTGTAGATTTACTAAGAAATTACTGAGTTGCACACTTAAAATGGGTGATTTTAACTTATGTAAATTATACCTCAATGAAACCATTAAAAAATGAACACATCTATAAGCCACATGACAGTGAATCACCAACTTACCTTTCCACACTACACTGTAAATGCCGAATATTAATATAATTAGGTCCCTATCTGAACTGACATCTTATTACAAAGGCACATATCCATTGGTCCTGGAATAAACCAACATTCATAGACTCGAGCAACATTTTTAGTTGAAATGGCCATACCGCCCCCTAAAAAGTGATTTCTTTCCCCTCTAATCCCTCGATTTTCTGAATAGGAATTACAGTTGGACAATTAGGTTGATAACTAATGATCTCACTGCATTGTACATCTCTCCTTCACCATATTCAAATCTGTGCTTGTTACCTTTTCTCATCTCTGTAAACCTTGTTTCATAAGATGGGTAGAGTGGGTAAGATACTTCTTCGAATTCCTGAGAGTCCTACACCCACTGGATGACAGGAAACTCACAAAGCAGGTGTCCTATCAGTCTTGCTAACCATTCTGTGCTCTGTGCCTGGTACATAGTAGGTACTCAATAAATATTTGATAGTGGATGAATGAGAAGCATGAGTTAATGACCTCACACATAATTCATTTAAATAAAAGGTTTACGATATTAGACTTCCAGCCAAGATGGAGGCATAGGAAGACACACTATGCCTCCTCGCACAACCAAATGGACAACAATTTAAAAACAAAAAAACAACCAGAACTGACAGAAAACCAAACTGTATAGAAGTCCGACAACCAAG